ATTTATTAGGCTTTGTTCAATTCTGACTTCCCTTAAAATCAAGACACTCTGGCGTTGCTATGTTGGGAGGGTTTTTTAAACTACAGGCCCAATTTGTCAGTTATGACTTGACCATCTTGAGTTGTTTTTTTTTGGACAGCTCTGTCTCTGATGGGTGAACCCAGGATGGGGACGTTTCCCTTCAGTCAGAAATTGCAAGTGATTTCTGAAGCTCAGCCGCGCACGTTTTTGGCAATGTCCCCGTCTTCAAATTTGAAACTTTTCCAGCTTTCTGTGTTTTTAGGAGGCAGGGAATTTTGGCGGGTAGGGAGGTGTTTCTTGGGATTATCACGTGTGTGTGTGTGTGTCTGCCTGTTGAGTCTGGTCTCTGGGTCTTAGGTGAATTTCGTTGTACGTACACTGTGTATATACGTACAATGACAATAAAGAACTAAATTCCATTTTTAAGGCAGGCAACTCTTGAATTCTGAGTCTGATTTTGGAAGCGTTTCAGCCTCGGATCAACCCAAACTGAGAGCAACGCATGAGAAAAGAAGGATTGGGGTGACATGATAACTGTTTTAATAGAATAAGGAATGACAGAGTTGAAAGAGACCTTGGAGGTCTTCTAGTCCAACCCCCCTCCTCAAGTGAGATACCCGATCCCATTTCAGGCCAATGGTTGTCCAATCTCTTCTTAAAAACTTCCAGTGTTGGAGCATTTTACAGCTTCTGGAGGCAAGTTTCCCCAGTGATTAATTGTTCTCACTCTCAGGAAATTCCTCCTAAGTTCTAGGTTGCTTTTCTCTCTGATGAGTCTCCATCTATTGCTTTCCCCCCCTGTTTTTAGGTGTTTTGAAGAATAGTTTAACCCCCTCTTCTTTGTGGCAGCCCCTGAGATATTGAAACACTGCCATCATGTCACCCCTGCTCCTTCTTTTCATTCAACTAGATATACACAATTCCAGCAACCGTTCTTCGTCTGTTTTAGCCTCCGGTCCTCTAATCCTCTTGGTTGCTCTTCTCTGTACCCTTTCGAAAGTCTCAACATCTTTTTGACATGGTGGAGATTAAAACCAGATGCAGGATTCCAAGTGTGGCCTAACCAAGGCCTTATAAAGTGATAGTAACACTTCTCGCGATCTTGATTCTATCCCTCTGTTGATGCAGCCTAGGATTGCGTTGGCTTTTTGGGAAGCTGCTGTTTTAGTCCGCCGGGGGCGTGGGGGAGCGGAGCGGACAGCAGAGTTGGACAGTGGGGAGGAGCATGGGCCAGTCCTGGAGTCTAGGGAGGACTCAGATGAGGGATCTGCGTCCGACACAGAGATGAGGCCAGGGCCATTGGAGACTTACGCGCCGACTCCGGAGCCCCCGGAGTCTGGCAGCAGCGAGGCAGAGGAACGGGGGGAGCCTGTTCCCAGTGCGCGCTTGCGCAGAGCTGCCAGAAGGCAAGAACAGTTGAGACAAAAGGGGCAACTCGGGATTAAGGCTTGGAGGTGATTGGCCCCTCCCATAAGACATAAAGGAGGAGCAAAGGGACAGGGGCCTTTGCAGGAAGCAACTTTCTTCATTCGGGTCGGTTTAAAGTCTGAAGCTCCGTGTTGTTGACTTGTGCTCCATATGGCCTTGTGTACAGCCAATCGGCAATTGAGCCATTTAGGGAGATAAAGGTGGGTGCTTATCAGCCTTATCCCGAAGGACTGTGGCAGAACTTCTGCTGGTCTCTTCACAAACTGTTTGGGACTCATTTACCGGCTGTGAATACATAGAATTCACAGCCACTGAAATACAAACCAAAAGGATCTTGGGAACAGCGTGCGATGGTTACCGTCCGGGGAAGCCTTGGTCAGAACAGCTACAGCACACGGCTGGCTCATATTTAAATGATTTTCCACTAGGACTCCAAGTGACTACAACACTATTGAGCCAGGTACCACCTGTGCCCGTGATGGCGAATCTAGTCTGCCAGCACGCAAGCCATTGCTCAGAAGAGAGCCGCCGCGCATGCCTCGCACCAGCCAGCTGATCGTTGGGTATCTGCTGCTGTTTGCAGGCTAAATTTACATTGCCGCAGGGCGGGGCGGGCGCATGTTCCTTGAGGGGCTGCCCCAAAGAAGAGGAAGGGGTCAGTCTAGTCTCCAAAGCCCCTGAGGGCAGGACAAGAAGCAACGGATGAAAACACGTCAAGGAGAGAGAAGCAACCTGGAACCAAGGAGGGGAAAAAAGGGGACCGATTTTCACCCTTAACGGCCATTGTAGCATTCCTGTAGTCACATGATCAAGAGCCACTTAGCAAGTGACTCCTATGATCGTTGCAGCGTCCCTGGGCCACGTCGGGACCCCTTCTGGCAAGCAGATTCACTTTACAACTGTGCTGCTCACTTAAGGGATTCATTTAACAACCATGACCCCAAAAAATGGTCCTACAGTCAGGCGCAACTCACTGAACGGCTGCTTTGCTTAGCAACCAAGATTCTGGTCCCGATTGTGGTCATAAGTTGAGGACTGCCTGTGATTAGGCTTGGAGAATACCTTCCTCCTCCATCGAGCTGAGTGCCATTCTTGCAAACTTTGCACGCTTGCTGTTAAATTGCCTCGGAAATTGGCGCGCGGTTATGGCCGAGGTCTCCAAACTTGGCAACTTGAAGACTTGTGGACTTCCAACTCCCAGAATTTTCCTGGCTGGAGGATTCTGGGAGTTGAAGTCCACAAGTCTTAAAAAGTTGCCAAGTTTGGGGACTCCTCTGAGTTACATGGTATCCCCAGTTGCTGTTTCCCCACGGAAGGGATTCACAAATCCCAGCCACCAGGTCTCTGCCTGGTTGCTGGGTGGGCGTGGCCATGGTGGGCGTGGCCTACCAGAACTCCCAGGAGGGCCGTTTTTCACCTTCCCCAGAGTCCAGAGGCTTCCCTCGGGCCTCTGGGAGGGCCAAAACGGCCTCCCGCAAGCGCCGGAGGCTCTCCGAAAGCCGGAAACAGGCCTGTTTTCTGCACTTTGGAAACTTCTAGAAGGCCCATTTTCTACCCTCCCAGAGTCTCCCTCCAGACTGCGCTTTCCTGCATCCCAAATAGGCTGCGTGGAGACGCCGGGGAGGGGCCAGCCGGTCGGCTCAACGACCAATTCGGCGAACCAGATACAAATTGAACAGCTGGTTCATCCAAACCGATCCAGACCCGCTGAATCTCCCACCCCTGCTGGTTCCTGCATTTGATCATTTACTTGCATAAACTAAACCAGGGGTGTCCAACCTTTCACCTTCCCTGGGCCACATTAGAAGATGAAAATTTGGTTTGGGCCGCACATAAAATAAAATAACAGTAACAATACCCGATCATCCCCAAAAAAACCATAGAAAACATAGTTAACATATTAAATTTATTTGGAAATGAAGTTAGTGAGATGCATTTATTATTTATTAAAAATTATTTATTTTCTATCACGGTTTATTTTCCGGCCAAATTTTGCGGGGGGGGGGGGGGGGAGAAAGCTCGCCTGCCTCGCGCCTACCTCTCCTCCTGCAAATGGCCCGGCTGGATGAGGCAGGACTGGAAGGCAGAAGCGGCGCGGGCAGAAGCAGCAGCAGGGGCAGAAGCGGCGGCAGCAACAGCAGGAGGTGGCGCTCTGATGGCGCCTGCTTTTTCTGTTGCTGCTTGGCCTGTCGCTTGCCTCGCCCCGCCTCGCGCCTGCCTCTCCTCCTCCTCCTCGCTGGCTCTGGCACGAAGGTTGGGGTGGGCACTGGGCCGCATTACGAGGCAACCTGGGCCGCATGCGGCCCCTGGGCCGCGGGTTGGACAAGCCTGAACTAAACGGTGCGACAGGAGCTCTGGAATTATTCCTTTGTATTCCTGCCCTGGCAAGCCCGCTCTTAATCTGTGCATCCTGTAAAGAAACACATTTCGGCGTTAGCGATTCCCGCCTTGGAGAATTATAACCGGATACAGGAACTGCTGTCAGACGTGACTCATCCCAAAGAAGGTTTATTTCTAAGGCAGGGTTCCCCAACTTTTCCAGGTTGGCGGCCCAGAGTGGGGGGGGGAGAGGGGTAAGAGGAGTTGGTTGTGTGGGAGGGGCAGGCACGTGTGCGAGCACCCGTTGCACGAGTGCGGCCAAGAGTGCTCACAAGAGTGTGCGAATGGGACTGTGCACCCCCCAGTTGCCCATTGGTGCGGCCCAGTTGTGACTAGGTCGCAGGCAGGTAGTCGGATGGGCATTCAGAGGAAGACCCAGGCCCACCCCCTCTTCATCCTAGGGCACGCAAGGGAGGAAACGAGAAGGGAGCAACGTGAGTGGCGTGGCCTACGGGGGGAGGAAGGGGCCCTGATCCCCTTCATGGGCTGCAGCTGGGAGGACTGGTTAAAAGGACCAAAAGTGCTGGAGGAAGCAAAGCGTGCATTCTTGTCAGAGCTTATCTGTGTTCTGGCTTCCTCCCAACTGTGGTTGCTGCATTATCTGGTAGAAGCCTGCAATTAATCATCCTTGCCTGCCGTAGTAATTCCTTCAGTGTGGTGTGTTGGGTTTTTTTATTTCTAATTATCTTTACTTTGGGTTCGGACTGCATTTGCTCCCCCTGTCAACTGTTTTCTTTAAGAGTTTGATCTCCTGCTGAGGAGAATTGGACATTGGGGCCAAGTTGGAGGCATTAAAGGGACTTTTTTCCCCATTTTTGTGACTTGGTTATTTTTGTGTCATGCCCCGGGACATCACGTCTGCCTGCCTGTCTGTCTGTCTCAATATCTCTTTTATACGATGGCGACCGTAACTGGATGCAGTATTCCAAGTGTGGTCAGAAGCCAGCTGAGAAGGTCGTCAAAGAGTTTCCGGTCCCAGTTATCGTTGTGAAGCAAGGACTTACCTGCTTAGCGTCCATTTCCCTTTTCAGCTCTCAGGCGGATACAGAACCGGTGTGATTCTTGCGTGACACCATTAGCCATGATCCTGGGCTGGTTCCTGCTTGAATTTTGGCCGGTCTTTCATTCCCCGCTCCGATTTTTATTGACTTTAGTCTCCGTCTTCTTTTCAGATCGACGACATCATTGATGGGGCCGTGAAGCCTCCTCCTAACAAGTACCCTATATTCTTTTTCGGAACCCACGAGACGTAAGTTCGCCAACTTTGGGAGGTTCTGTTGGGTGCGTCGGCGGCCTAAGCCGTCTGGGGTGACCCGTCCCTTTCTCTCCAAACCTTTCCGTTTCTTCTTCGCTCTTGTCCGTATCCCGCAGGGCGTTTTTGGGGCCCAAGGACCTCTTCCCTTACGAGAAGTACAAGGACAAATACGGGAAGCCCAACAAACGGAAAGGTTTCAATGAAGGATTGTGGGAAATCCAGAACAACCCTCACGCCAGCTACAGTGCGCCTCCGGTGAGTCGGACGGGATGCATTTCTGATGCACCTCTGTTTTGACCTCAGGTGGCCTGTTTTTGCAGCAGGGTCTGTATAGCAAAGGGCTGGACTGTGGGACATTCTGGGGAATTCTGGGAGTTGAAGTCCAAACATCCCAGGTACAGAATTCTGGGAGTTGAAGGGAACTTCCTAGCTAGGGAAATCTGGGAGTTGAAGGGAACTTCCTAGCCAAGGAATTCTGGGAGTTGAAGTCCAAACATCCCAGGTACAGAATTCTGGGAGTTGAAGGGAACTTCCTAGCCAGGGAATTCTGGGAGTTGAAGTCCAGGCATCCCAGGTACAGAATTCTGGGAGTTGAAGGGAACTTCCTAGCCAGGGAATTCTGGGAGTTGAAGTCCAGGCATCCTAGGTACAGAATTCTGGGAGTTGAAGGGAACTTCCTAGCCAAGGAATTCTGGGAGTTGAAGTCCAAACATCCCAGGTACAGAATTCTGGGAGTTGAAGGGAACTTCCTAGCCAAGAAATTCTGGGAGTTGAAGTCCAAACATCCCAGGTACAGAATTCTGGGAGTTGAAGGGAACTTCCTAGCCAAGGAATTCCGGGAGTTGAAGGTCATACATGCTGGTTGGAGAATTCTGAAAGTCCACAGATGCTGGTTGAGGAATCCTAGGAGTAGATGCCCCACACGCTTTGAATTGGCCAGGTGTGAAAAACATTCCACAACACTTCCAGCTGCTGTCATGAATCTACTTCTCCTTTGCCAGGATCTGGACTCTGAATTCCTCCTTTGAGATGTCCAGACGCCTCCCGTTGCTACTTTTCCGGTCACTAACTCTCTTTTTGTCCCTTTCTCTCCTCATAGCCACCGAGCTCCTCAGACAGCGAAGTTGGGGACATCGACCCCGTCGGAGGCGGGGGAGGAGGAAGCGACGTCCCTGGAGAGGAAGGCCCGACCCCAACCGCAGGTGCCGGCGGAGCAGGGATGACGGTGGAGAAAGCGGAGAGCGAAGAGTCGGACAAAGGAAGCGATCACAGCAGCATGAAAAGGAAATCGTTAGCCGCGAAAGTGAGCCATTTTCCCGATGGTGCCGATTCGGAGCTTTTTTTTTTTTTTTTTACCTCTTGACCCCAGGCCAAACCTGAGTTGGGGTCGAGAACTTGGGAGCTAGTACGGTCTGGATGGGAATGAACAAAGAGCTTGATCCCCGGCAAGGCAAAAGAACGGGTAGTCCTCGGCTTACGACCGTTGGAAACGGCGCTGGGAAAAAAAGAAAAAAAAGCGATTTACAGCCTCGCACTTGACGACCGTCGCGGTGTATCCCGCGGTCACGGGATCGAAATCCGGCGTCCCTCGTGGATTTGTAAACCATTATTGGAACATCCCGAGGTCGCATGATGATCGCTCTTTGCAACTTTTCCCAGCCCGCTTCCAAGAAGAAGCTAAAGTCAGCGGGAGGAACCGGGGGGTTTTGTTTCCAAACCGCGCGATTCGCTTGAACAACCGCGACGAAAAAGGCCGTCAAATTGCGGGTGACTCGCTTCACATCGCTTAGCGATGCCAGTTGCGGTCGTAAGTTGAGGACTAACTTGCAGCTCGGTGTATTTAAAACCTTCCAAATTCAGAGAAGGTCCGTTTTGAATTCTAAAGGGAGGAGCCGTGCTTCCCCAATAAGTATGAAAATTATGAAATAATTTTTTTTTGTCGGGGTCTGGACTTGTATTAGGCCTTCGTTCGTCTCCACCCTGGAAGCAGGCATCTTACTTTCTGTCCCTCCTTGGTCATCTCTTGGATAGACTACCGTACATGGGACGGCCCTAGCTGGAAGCTTCAGTTGGTCCCGGAGGTTGGTATTAGGCAGTTATGGGTGCCAGTCGGTTCACCCATGTAATTCTTCCTGTTCATTTGCTTTGTTTTGTCAAGCAAAAATGACCATTTCAAATGAGCAAAATGGGGGGGAAAAGTGTTAAAGGAGAATATTGGTAGCTCAGGGTTGACAGGAAGAGTCCTTGGTGCTGTCTGCGCTTCCTTGTATCCTTGCAGACGTTTCAAGACCCAACTAGGTAACATCATCAGTACTAGTAAGGCGTGCTGTTTTCTCTCAGTTTATATTCTGGCATCTTGCCTGCCTGTATGGGTTGGGGCGGTCTTAGATGTTCTTTGGTTGGGCTGTTTATTGATGGCTCTTTGGAAGTTTTTTGATGGGGGCATCACTTACTTGACTGTAAGTTAGAATAGAATAGAATTCTTTATTGGCCAAGTGTGATTGGACACCCAAGGAATTTGTCTTTTTTTAAAAAACAAACAAACAAATTTTATTAACTTTACAAAGCACACAGACAATCAAGGCATAATAACATAAAAGATCTTTCTGGAAAAACCAGTAGGACGTACCAAATGTTAATTGTAATATGTATATTTACGTTATCTGCTCAACTTCATATCTTATCCCAATTTCTCCTTTTCATTCTATTATCCAGATTACATTTCTTATATTTCTTACTAATCAATATGATTTTTGAATTTGCTTCTGTACGAAGAGTTTTAACCCGGGATTAAGCAGCTTTCAGAAATGATGATTTTTATGTTTTATGTCATGTATGTTTGTGTATTGTGTTTTGAAAGACAAGGAATTTGTCTTGATGCAGATGCTCTCAGTGTACATCAAAGAAAAGATTACATTTGTCAAGAGTCAGGAATCATCAGGTACAACACTTAATGATAGGTACAATAAGCAATCAAATCGTACTAGGAAACAGTCCATATAAATCGTAAGGATACAAGTGACAAAGTTACAGTCATACAGTCATAAATGGGATGGGTGATAAGGAGTGATGAGAAGGTTAATAGTAATAGTCATGCAGATTTTGTAAATAGTTGGACAGTGTTGAGGGAATTATTTGTTTAGCAGAGTGATGGCGTTTGAGAAAAAAAAAAACTGTCCTTGTGTCTAGTTGTTCTGGTGTGCAGGATTCTACAGCAATGGTTGCCAACCAGTGGGCTGGGGACCACTGGTGGTCAGTGAGAAAATTTTGGTGGTCCGCAGAGAAATGTTGTCCACAAAGCAATTAATCCAGGCTGCACGGGAATACAAGGCTTGCATTGTGAGCAGCACAAGGTAGGGGAGGAGAGGGAGGAAAGGCCGAACTCGCCCCACACGCCTGGCCTGGCCACCGGGCTGCTTCCTTCCGCTTCTTTCTTCTGCTTTTGGCTGCACGCAAGGAAAGCAGCCAAAGTCTTTCTTTCTCTCCCCCCAAACTCCGCCAGAAATGAGTCTTTGGGACCCTGCAAGGCCTCCTGCTCTGAGAGGCTGTGCCGGCACAGCAAGTCTCACAAAGACTCATTTTTGGCGGAGTTTGGGGGAGAGAAAGAAAGAAAGACTTCTGCAGCTTCTGCTGCTTTCCTTGCATGAAGCCAAAAGTCTCTCTCTCTCTCTTTCTCCCCTGAGAACAGAGCTGGAGACTGTATCCTGCAATCCCAAATAAAGAATGATAGATCGGTAGGAAAACGGGGTGGGGAATTTTCCTGCAGACTTTTTGGGGGATTTTCCCAGGAAAATCCCCAAATCCTGGTCCGCGGGATTTAAAATTATGAGTTTGGTGGTCCCTGAGGTCCAAAAGGTTGGCGACCCCAGTTCTCCAGCATCATTTTGAGAAGAGGAGTTGAAACAGTTTATGTCCAGGATGCGAGGAGTTAATCTCTGCCGATCTGCCTGCCAATTACTGATGGAGAAATGCTGGAGTCTTCTTATGTCCTTTTCGACTGGTCGATTGTCTCTCTTGCGTAGTCTATAGACGTTAACGTCTCCGTGTCCGTTGATGGCTGATTTCGTCAGAGCGCGAGGCTTCTAGAAATCCCCCTGGCATTTTTTTGGGAACTTGGCCTGGTCTTAGATGGTCACATTTTCCAATCAAAAAATTATGGTTAAATCTATCGATTGTAAAATGAAAAGAAGGTTTGTCCTGCCTTCTGACTGCCCGTTGGTGTTCACGGATGCCTTCTGCTTGCTTGTCCTACAGAGTGACCGTTGCAATCCTTAACATTGTTGTAAATGACCATGTTAGTAACTTTAAATTCTGGGGTTGCTGGATCTTTTGGTCTGCCTGGGATGTTTTGAGGGCTTTCATCGGCTAGCGTGCTAGGCCAATTCCGCTTGATCGTGGTAGTCTATTTGTGGTTTCTGAGTTATTCTAGATGTTGGGCAGTGTGTAATTCTATTTAGGGCTTGTGTTGGTTGCGCTATATTGGGTTGAGTGACATAGGCACATTAATGCACTTACACACCAGTGATAGGATTCAATTTTTTTTTTTTTACTACCGGTTCTGTGCGCGTGGCTGGCTTGGTGGGCACGGCAGAGGAAGGTTACTGCAAAATCCTCCTTCCCTCCCCACCTTAATAACCTGCTTTCCAGCTCCGTTCTTCTGGGCAGGGCAACCAAAGGAGACCCAGCCGATCAGCTGGGACTCAATGGGAGGCGGAGAATTGATGAAGGCAGGGCCAGTCAGAAGTGGGATTGGCCGGTTCTCCCAACTGCTCCGAATTTACACCAGAAGTTCTCCAGAACCAATCAGAACCTGCTGAATATCACCTCCGTTACGTACGCACCCCCCCTTAAATATGGGGTGAGGCCCAGAAAAGTGACATTAGAATTAAAACCATGGAAGTTAGTAGTTGAGACCATTGAACCCCGGTAAGGATACTCCAGAGTTGAACAATTCTGTTACAACAATAGTAATTTTTTACCATCAAGTTTAAAGCTTGCTTGAGTGGCGCAGTGGCCTAGAGTGGCAGAGCTCTCACCTCACAAATCGGGAGGCTGTGAGTTCGATCCTAGGTAGAGGCAGATATTTCTCTCTCTGAGCACGATGAGAATATATCTGCCAAACAAAACTCCGCCCTGGAGACAGGAAAGGCCTCTGGCCAGTAAACAGTCAGCTCCATTCAATTGCCCAGACTACGGGGTCATTTAAAGTAGAAGGAAGAAGAAGTTTAAAGCTGCTTAATTCTGCTGCTTGGAGAACCACACAGTTTGCCCCCGGGTGCAATTCGAGATGCTGGTTTATCACCTTGAATGCCCTGTTTGGTTCACCTCCTGGGCCTTGTGGGGAAATTCCTCCTTCCAGAGGGTTTTGCTCATCTGTTAACGTTTGAAAAATGAGATTTCTTTGACCCACGGAAGCTGCCTCATCTCCAGGCCCAAGTAAGGCCTCCCCGGTTGCCGAATGGCCTTTTCTGGGATACCTTCCCCTGGAGATTGGCTCAGCCCCATGGCTCCTGGATTTTCTAAAACACCCAGCCTCTTGGCTTTGGGGCTTTGCAATGCCTTTTTTTGAAACTCCCGTGGTGGGAATATTTATTTGGGACCGTCCCGGGGGGGGGGGGGGGATTTTAATTATGTCTTTCTGACGCACTTCGCCTCCAGCTGGTTCCCACACGCGAAGTAAGTACGCCACGCCGAATCCATCCTGATTGGACCGGCGTATACAGGTAGACCTCGACTTAACGACTATCCGTTTAGCGGCCGTTCGAAGTTTTAGCGCCACCGGGGGGGGGGAAAAAAGCGTCTGAGGGCCGTTTCTCACGCTTACGACCGTTGCCACCTCCCCACGGTCGCGGGATTGAAATTCGGACGCTTGGCAACCGACTCGCCTTTAGGACGGTCGCAGTGTCCTGAGGTCACGTGAGGTCCGCTTTTGAGACTTTCCGACAAGCAAAGTCTATGGGGAAGCCAGGTGTCACGCCCAAAATGGACATACGTGCAGCCATTTTATTTAGCCTTTTTATATATTCCTTTTCTTCCTTTCTCTTTGCTGGTTATGGCGGTGGGGGGGGGAGAAGGGTTTTGGGCTTGCCACATTCCTAAGGTGGGAGGAGCAGAGATAGAGTTGTTTAGGCTAGGTGGGTTCTTCTTCCCGTGGGAACAAAAGCTGATCCTGCTGAGACCTGGAGGTGGAGATTGATGACAAAAGGCAACGTTGATTTCCTTCTATTGGGGAACGTGACTTTTTGGGGGTTGTTTCTAACTTCCAAGATTATGTGGGGTATTTCTGAGTGGTGTCAGATCCGGGATTACCGCAGACTTTGCCAATTTTGATGCTTTCCGAAATAAAAGAAATGGTTTTGGAAGACGGACTTTGCTTTTTTTAAAATGGATTTCGTAGCTTGGAAACCTGACACCAGGTTCCCTTAACCAACCGTGTTGCTCACTTAACAACTGCAGGGATTCTGTGGGAGAAAGGTCATACAGCGGGGCAAAACTCCCTTAACGTCTCTCTGGCTTAGCCATGGAAATTTTGCGCTCCATTGCAGTCGTAAGTTGAGGACTACCCAATATAGCCAAATAATTGGCATTTCTGTCTTGGGGCTCTGCTCAGAGTAGAAGGCCCAGCTGGTACGAACACAATTGAGCCCAACATTTATGTCATTTTACGTTTGTGCTATTTTATCTTATGAAAGTTTATGCTGAGAGAGAAATTGGTGAAGTGAGTTTTGTCCCATTTTCTGACCTCGGCCGTTAAGTGAATCACTGCAGCTTTTAAGTTACTAACACGGTCATTAATCTGGTTTCCCCCTTGACTTTGCTGATCAGAAGGTTGGAAAAAGGGATCATGTGACCCCAGGACTCCAAAACCGTCGTAAATATGAGTCAGTTGTTTTAAGCATCCAAATGTGTAAATCACGGGGATGCTGCAATGGCCATAAGTGTGAAAAACGGTCATAAGTCGCTTTTTTCCGGTGTCGTCGTAACTTCGACTGGTGACTAAAATGAACTGTTGTAAGTTGAGGATTACCTGTATTTGTGTGTGTATTTTGAGAGCAACTCTCAGAATTTCATTTTTGAATACGGGCCAGTCATCATCGTCCTCTTTTAACGACCCCATAATTTTTTTGCGGGGTAGAATCTGGCCAACTGAATGGAGGTGGCAAAGTTCTTACTGGCCAGATGCCTTTCCTGTCACCAAGGCAGAGTTTTGTTCAGCAGATAAATTCTCCTTGTGCCCAGAAAGAGAAATATCCGCCTCTACCTAAGGATCAAAATCGCAGCCTCCTAATTGTTGAGGTGAAGGCGCCGGCTTGAGGCCACCGTCCCGTTCTTTAATGCGCGGCCGGTGTGTTCACAGAAAAAAAAAGTGACAAGGTTATCTAATAAATAAAGGAAACGCATCTCTTAGGCCGTCTCTGATGCCCCGTCTGATCTTATTCCCCCGCTCCTGTTCTAGATGCCGGTCGCGAAACGACCCAGGAAATCTTCAAGTGACCTTGAGCAAGCCAGCCCCTCTGCGACGGAGGAGGAAAACTCAGAAAGCTCTTCTGAATCGGAGAAATACAGTGACCAGGTCGGGTTTGTGTGGGTAGAAGGTATTTACGTGCGACCTGCGGAGTTATTTTAGCGAAGGTGGAGCAACAGGAGTAGCCCTTAAGACACTTACATACCGCTTTATAGCGCTTGGTGGCCCTCTCTAAGCGGTTTGCGGAGTCAGCCTCTTGCCCGCCAACGATCTGGGTCCTCATTTTACCCCGCTTGGAAGGACGGAAGGCTGAGTCCGCCTTGAGCCAGTCAGGATCGAACTCCTGGCAGTGGGCAGAGTCAGCCTCCAATGCTGCATTCTAATCATTGTGCTACCAGGACTCCTGAGAGAGAAAGAGGAAGGAAGGAAGGAAGGAAGGAAGGAAAAGGAAAGGAAAGGAAAGGAGGAAGGAAGGGAAAGGAAAGGAAAGGAAAGGAAAGGAAAGGAAAGGAAAGGAAAGGAAAGGAAAGGAAGGATGGATAGGGAGGAAGGAGGGAAGGAAGGATGGATAGGGAGGAAGGAGGAAGGGAGGAAGGGAAAAGAAATATCAGCCATTCAGCACCTCCAAACAAATGACAATATAGCACTAGCAACAGCACTTATATACCACTTTACAGTGCTTTTACAGCCCTCTCTAAGCGGTTTACAGAGTCAGCCTCTTGCCCCCAACAATCTGGGTCCTCATTTTACCCCCCCTTGCAAGGACGGAAGGCTGAGTCCACTTTGAGCCGGGCAGGATCGACCTGCTGGCAGCCGGCAGAATCAGCCTCCAATGCCGCATTCTAACCACCTGCACGCGGGGTTGGGGAAGGAGAGAGGAAGTGTAGATAGAAGATACGGGTGCAGCTCACCTAACCACCACCTTCTTAGCAGCAAAAAAAAAAAAATCTGGCCCCCTTCGCAGTCATAACTCACAGACTACTTATTATATGTTCTCCTCTGCCCGTCTTTAATGTTGGGGACGGGGTGGTGGAAATATTTTGGAACTGAGCGGGCTTCAGTGTCAATTCCGTGTCTCCTAACGTAGGACTTCACTCCAGAGAAAAAAACACCTGCCAGAGCTACACGACGGGCACCTGCCGGAGGGTGGAAGAAAAAGGTAAGAGGACTTCCAAATCTCTTAGAAAAGTTGATTGATTATCTCTGGGAATCCAAAGTTGATCTAGAATTGATGATGTTACGTTACGTTATGTTATGTTACGTTGCATTGCGTTGCAATGCAATGCAATGCAATGCAATGCAATGCAATGCAATACAATATTATAATAACATCTATATATATATAAAAGCAAATCACCCCTCACGCATCATCACAAAATCTCCAGAACCGTAAAGCCTACAAACTTGATACTTGTCACGTGTGTTCCTCTTGGCTTCTAGGTGCTCAGTAAAGAAGGATTTTTCAAAATGACCATCAGAGCATTTGTATTTTGTATATTATTGTTATTAACACGCTCTGATGCTAAGGAGTTCGACTCCCTCTCCACACCTGAAAAGAAATCTCTTCCAAAGGCAAAACACAAGCAGAGGAGAGGAGGTTCAGTTTTACTTTCACAGCAGCACCAAGCAGCTTTAAGTACAGAACAGTTGAGCTAAGCCATGCCCAGGCTCCTTGCTGTCTCCTTGCTCTCACACAGCAAATACTGTTTCACTTTCCAAACAGCCCTCAACACTCTCACACACTCATACTGATGAATACTCATACTGAGGAATACTGATGGATGCTGGTGGGCAGAGGCAGAGTTTTCCCCCCTTATTTTCCTCCCCAAAATCTAAGCTTGACCACATAGCAAAGTTTCGTTAGCGAAGCGCAGGTATCAAGCCAGTAACCAATACGAAAAACAAAACTGCAGGAGGAGTCGCAGAAACGGGGGTCGGTCAAGAGAGGTAGCGGCCTAGAATCCCTACGTAGCCACGTGCGAACTGTCCAGTCTCCCTTGTATTCCCTGGACTCGTATCTAATTCCAAGCAAGGGCTAACCATGAGCTGAGAAAATTCCTGTGCATAGGCATTTTACCAATAAATCGGTTTAATTGAACTTTCACTCGAGGGTCTGAATGTTTACACCTGGCAACACTTACCCGGCCGCTTGTGCACCTGAACTTTCACACCTGACTGTACCTACCCCGCCGCTCAGCCTCCAAACCGATTTTGTTCACGTTGTGTTGGACGAAACCAGGCTTCGTTCCCCTTGGCAAAGGTGGAGGAACATTGGCCTGGACAAGATTCACCGGCTTAGAATCCCCTCGGTTGACCTTCCGTAGACCTTTTTTTAGGGACATAATTGATTTGCACCTGGAACAGGTAAGTCCTCAACGACCGATCCCTTAGGGACAGAAGTTAAGCTGGACCTACCTATTTATTGCCTTTTAACAATCACATTAGTTTAATTCGCGTGCGGAATTGATCTTTCACACCTGACAGCGACGTATCTTGTCTTCAATGCAGACACCTCGTTTCCCCCCCAAATTAAAAACGACCCTGAAAATAAGACCTAGCATGTTTTTAAGCGTGCGCCTAATATAAGCCTTACCTCCCAAAAGAAGTCCTACTTAAGATCCCGCACAATTGGGCTGCCTGCCCGTTTCATCCGATCGTTCACAGTGCTGTGGCCACGAGGCGAGGTGTGGGTTGGGGGCAGAGTTGCCCCACAGGTCCTGCACCTTAGATACCTGCCAGCACTGGCCCAGTTTTGCTCATTCGTGGCTGCAGTGGAGCAGAAGGCGAGAGCAACGTGGTGGTACCGCAGCTACAAGCCAAGGCGGGTGTTGAGGCACAGGTGGCCTGGCAGGGGAGGCCCCGAAGTAAGCTGGTGCGAGGCACGTGGGGCAATGCCACCCCCGAATTGTGGCGGCCGCCCTGGCGCGTTGCGCGGCCAGCAAGAAGAAAAAGTTGTCGACTCATAAAATATTTCTAGTTGCCGGCAGAAAGGGAGAGGGAAGCAGCGCAGCAGCTTGCAAAACCGAAAGCGCATTCCATAAATAGTTTTTCAAAGATAGTAACTAGGTGACTGAAGTTTCTGCCGGACAAAATTCCAGCTGGAGAGCATGATGGATGACTCTGGGCTATGGAGGTGTCCCGTCGGAGGATATATGAATTAGGATACACCCAGGGGGTGAGTGGGAAAACCAGAGTCAAGAGTGACAAGGAATTATGTGTGCCTCAGAGTCGGCTACACCCAGGCAGTGCCGGACATGTTAACGCCCAATAAATCCTCTTGAAGTTTTGGAAGTTGGGCTCGAGACTCGTGTGATTTAATTGGGGGGTAACTGCTGGAATCCTGACAGCAGTGGGGATCCCATATATTGGGGGACGGGGGGAAACAACACCCCTCCCAGAAAATAAGTCCTAGTGTTTATTTGGGGGCCCAAAAGAAAATAAGACCCGGTCTTTTTTTCGGGGGAAACACGGGTAGCCCTCAACTTACGACGGCATAGGAGACCAGCATCTTTGTCGTTAAGCAATGCGTTTGTTAAGGGAGGTTGTAAAACGGGGCAAAGCTCACTTAACGAACGTCCCCGCTTCAGGGACAGACCCGTCGGGCTCCATTGTGGCCGTAAGCCGAGGGCAACCCGTCACGTTGTAGATTGAGGTATGACTCGCTGAGCAACTGCCTAGCTTAGCAATGGACAGTCTGGCCCCGATTCTGGTCATAAGTTAAGGACTATGTACCGCGGATTACAGCCATCCGCTTACCCCAGATCCAGGAATTGTAGGTTTTGGGTTTTGTCAAGGAGACGATTTGGCAGGATGGAAGGTGCCTGTGATCCGGCTGCCTCTGGTGCGCTAAGGCGGCTCCTCTGTTAGCAGAAAATCGAATCGGCCTCCGACTCGGAGAGCAAGGCAGACTCCGAGGAGGAGGAGGAAGAGGAGGAGGAGGAGGAGGACAACAACCGCGAGGGCAACCGGCCACTCACTCCCAAGTCCGAGTCTGACTCCAACTCAGATGAATCCGTCAAGAAGCCCCCCCGCGGCAGGAAGCCAGGTCAGGAGCCCAGGTGGCTGCCAGGGCTGGGCTGAGGGGGCCGTGGGGCACCTCCCTTCCTTTCTTTCCCTCCTTCCTCCATCTCCTTCCTTCTCTCCTCTCCCCTTCTCCCTCTCTTCTCTTTCCTTTCTTTCTCTCAGCTCCCTTCCTTTCCTTTCCTCCCCCCTCCCTCCCTTCTTTTCCTTTTCCATTATTCTTTCCTTCCCTCTTTCCCTTTCCTTCCTCTCTTCCTTTCCTTCTCTCCCTCCTCCCCTCCTTCTGCCCTTCCTTCATTACTTCCTTTCTTTCGTTCTTTTCTTCTCTCCATCTCTCCCTCTCTTCTCTTTCCTTCCTTTCTCTCCCCTTCCTTCCTTTA